TGATCTTAGTAAAATGAATATAAATGAGCACATTCATTATAATTCTAACTGTAATTCTATTAAGAAAAATAACTACTGAAAATCTGATTCTTATGAAAATCTTCAGAAATTACCATTGTACTGAATATTAAGTTGCTGATGATGGCTAAGAAATGAAAAGCTTTGTAAATTTGCATCCCTTACAAAAATCAAAACCATTATTTCCATTCCATTGAGCTAATAACTATAATAAATTTAATTTTGTTATTTCTATTCAAGAAATGAGTATAATAGGCCTTTTTAGCATTTCATAATTCTATGTTTGTATAGTTTATTTGTAAAAATATTAAACTGCAATTGCAAGTACTTAAAATAAATTTAATTTTCTTAGTCAGTTGGGCCCTCACAAAAGTGAACTTAGGCGTGTGAATAGTTTTTGTTTTGTTTGGTTGATAGACAGAAGGCAAAAGAAGCTTCTTGCCTGTTCTCTTGGCTGAGAGACTTTGCTGGTGCTTTGGGTGCACTACCTTATAGGGCTTCACAAGAACCTGCAAAGTGTCCTCACTCTGGTGCAAATTAAAAAATTGAGGTTTAGAATCAAGAACATTGAACAAGCCTAATAGGGTAAGATTAGATCTCAGTTGCAAATCTGTGTGATTCAAAGTTAGAATTTCTCCAGTAAGGCACTAATTTATCAAACAGTTTTATCATTATTTGTAAAATAAGTTAAAGGTTTCAAGGTTGTATATGGTTAGATTTTTGGACTTATGTGTAAACATAAGAAGTATATAATTCTTTATGCCTATTTTTAAAATATATATTCTAATTTTTAAATGTTTTTTCATCATGTTCTATAGGGACTTAAAGTTCAACATATCAATAGTTGATGAAAAATACTTGTTCCATGTTATGCCTAAGATGTTTGATATTCAGACAGATAGTGAGGTGAAGCTTAACAGCCTAGGTTGTATGGTAATAACAATAAGCTTGTCTTCTGGATGGTTAACAACCTAAGTTTGCAAAACAAAATTAGAGAAAAAGGAGGGCCACAAGGAAAGCCAACCTTTTGGCCCTAGCCTTCCAAGGTCAGTTAAGACTCAGGACATATGAGAACTTGTTCTGTAACATCATGTAACTCGGTAATGTCCCAAATTTTCTGATCAAGATTATGGGGGTCAAAGACGAAAGTGATCAATGATGTACAGTGTGCCTAAGGAGAGTCACATGGAGAGAAAACATTCTCTCAGGCTTTCACAGAGAGCACATTGGCCAAGCAATGGCCGTGACTCATCCACATGGCTGACACTGACAAAGGTTCTACAATCTGAGGTGCAGGATCTCAGGATAAATCCTGAGAGGATTTCACTGACCTTCTCAGACCCAAAAGCTACAACTCTTGTTGCATAGGTCCTGCTTTACCTTTCAGCAGAAAAGTATAAAAAAGTATAAAAAAGAAAAGTATAAAAAAGAAATGTAAGAAGTAAAGCCATGCTGTTATGTTGAGCTGTAGGGGACTCAGATCAACAATTTCTGACATTGCCAGTCAGGCTTAAGACCCAATACTATGGACTACTGGACTCTTTTAGAATATTTTGCTGAGTTTACACATCTATAATATTTAAATGATGGAACCTAACAAAAAAGGGTATACAGATGAATGTCCATTTTGTATCTGTGTATTCAAAGTGGTTAGGATAGATATATAGCTACATTCTGTTAGTGAATAGAATGATTTATTCTAATGGTGTTTGTAAATAGAATATCAAGTCTGCATCTTGTACAGCAATTAACCACTAGGAAGAATGTATGCAATGTGTTAACTGTTGAAACTGTCCTAACAATTTGGTTTGAAACTGTCTCATTTCTATTTGTTTCTCAATAAAATTAAGGAGGAAAAATTTAAAAAAAAATTGTGCTACACAGAGCCAGTCATATAGCTCAACAGACCAAAGTGCCTGCTTAGGCAGAGCACAGAGGCTGAGGTTGGATCCCCGGTGTGCTAAACAGGCCCCACCTCTGAGACACACTGAGACAGGCACACACCTGTAATCCCAGCACTTGGGAGGCTGAAAACAGGAGAATCACTACGAGTCCAGTCTATGTAGTGAGATGCCACAGACCCTGTACTTAAAAAAAAAAATTAAAAATAATATTGCTATACACCTGAGTCAGACAAACAACATGATATTTTAAAAGATATAAATTTGGCCAACCAGATAGCTCAGTGGATTAAAACACCTGGATGTAGGGACCGATTCAATCCCTAGTGTGTTGTATTATCTCTGCCCCTGGGGCAAACTGAGACAGTGATTGAGATTGGGCATGGTGGCGGCTGCCTGTAATCCCAGCACTTGGGAGGCTGAAAACAGGAGGATCATTATGAGTGATCTGTGTAGTGAGACCCTAAAGGCCTTGTACTAAATACATTTAAAAAAATGTTTAAATGTAAATTCAAGGCTAACAATAGACTTACGGATGATCTTAGTAGGTACCTGGTCATTCTGAGTCTTTAAATGTTCAACTATTAAAAGTTTACTGCTTATGAAATAAATAAAATTATGTAAATTATGGGAAAAAAGATTTCTTGTGCATTACATGTGGAAAAGATTGATGTAATAAATGGACAGGCGAAAGGAGACGTTGCTAAAAATTTTGAGCAAAGCCTGGATCTTGCACTTCACCTGTGTGTAGTTTTGTGTAATATATTTTAGCTTGTATTTGCTTTGCTGGTGTCATCATATGACTAGATGACCTTTACAGGAGGGCTGCAATCAAAACATTTGAAATCAGCATGGCACAACAGAGCAGATGGCCGGCCTATCAGAACTGACACCAGCTCTAATGAACTGCTGAAAATCAGACTTGCTCTAATAAACTAAGCAAAAGATGTTTTTTCAATATGACACTCTCATTTAACTTCTATTTGCACTGTAAAAGTCTTGCTGTTAGAAAACATTGAGAACACCTATTTCATCATATTGTTCATATTAAAACTCCTGCTTACATTTTAAAATTCCATACTTAGGATCTGTTGTTTTATAATTTGTTATACTGAATTGATTGGTCTTCTGAATAAATTTCTTAAAGACTCATGCACTGATTTTATTTTTAGAATGATCATGTCAACTTAAAATAGAGTAAAACTCTGAAAATTAAGTAATAATATGGAACTGTACACAGTCAAGTTTTTAGAGTATGCAAAAACTTTCATGAAGAAATAACACTTTTTGGAAATGTTGTGAAATAAATTGCAAAATAATAGCAATTCCAGAAGAATAAGAGTCTCTCTTTAAAAAAAAAAAAAAAAACGGATTGCATAAAACTTCTGAGAGGGGCTGGGGAGATGGCTCAGTGGAATAAGCGCTTCTTTGGTAAGTGCAAGGACCTGAGTTCAGTCCCCGGTTCCACAAAAAACACTCCAAAACTTTAGAGAATGTTATTTATTAGTGTTTATTCCTCATTGTTAACCAATGACTGTCAACAAACAACACAAATAAAAATATTATACATGACTTTTAGGAAGTACACAGGAAGCTATTGGATCTTCCAGCACAGACTTTCAACCTAAAAAAATCAAAATAATTATGACAGATGATATTACATTGAAATAAAGTCAAATATTAAAAAAAAAAAAACATGGGGAGGCAGCAGGATAGCTCAGTGGACTAAGCACCTGCTTAGGCAAGTGCAGGGACTGGGGTTTCATTACCCATACCACATGGCGTGCCAGCCACGTCCCCAGACGCACTGAGCCAGCCACTGAGACCAGGCATGGTGGTGCACACCTGTAATCCCAGCACTGTGGAGGCTGAAAACAGGAGGATCACTATGAGTCCAAGCTGCATAGTGAGACCCTGCACCAAAAACATTTTTTAAAAAGTCAATCTTTAAAATAATAAGCAAATAGCAGTATCTTATGAGCAGTTGGTTTCTAAAAGGTAAATTATTAGGAAGTGTAATGTAATCTTTAATGCAAAAATATTCTAATATTGAAAATATTCTCCCAAAAATAACTGAATAGATAGGTAGGTAGATAGATAGATAGATAGGATTCCAAAGATCAAAAGAGTAATATAGTTAAGATCATATAGCCAAAAGAACAATGAACTATGAATTGTATAGAAGATTTGAACCCTGAAATTGACTTTGGAAAAGATCAGATAACTTTTTGATTGTTTTATATCAGCTGTGAAATAAAAAATACTACAGCATTTGAGTCAGTCCGTCTTTATTTTATGAAAATGTTTACACTGTAATTTGTAAGCTTTGAGTTTATAAACTGATTGGCACATCTTTCTAAGGCTGAATAATCTGTATATAGTATGAATATATTTCTTATCATGATAAAAATACTCCACATCTATGTTTATATACTTATATATTTTATATACACCAACTTGTTAAGCAGTTAAATGAAGTTTTTTTAAAAGATTTCTTTGTGATTGATTGATTGATGGAATTAAGCTATGTTAGCCTTTCCAGAATATGTGAAATAAATAATTGCATTTAACAAACATAATCAATTAGCTTTAAAATCAACACATATGATAAAACATCACTTGTACAATGTAACAGAATCTAAGTTTTAATAATAGTAAAATAATAATGCAAAAATAATGCATGATGATGGTCCATGCTACAACACATAAAATAGATCAATAAATGCTTCTTTGATAATTAATTATTCATTAGAGAGATAAGAAAATATTTCAGTTTCAGCAGAATTTTTATAGACTAATTAATTCAAGAAAAATTCTCTTAATTACATCAGTATCCTGTTTCCCAAAGCATAAGTGAAGAATCACTCACAAAATATTTAAAAAGACAGAATTCTAGTGATCTTTTAAGTAGTATTTTTGAAACACAACTGTAGTCAACGCTTTGCTATACCATAGAATTTATCTCCCAATGAATCATGTACCATAATGTATCTGATTAAAATACTACCAGCAAATTAAAGTTAATTATTTTGTATACATAATGTGATATTAAAAACTCTGTATATTTTGAAATATACTTACGGGTTATCCAATAGCAGTACTATGGGATTAAGTTCTTTCTTTGGTCTATAATATGCCCTGAGAGGAACAATAAAATTATACAATCCATTTCCAGCTGTTTCAGCTGCAACTATAATTAGCTTATTTTTGAATCCATAAGCTTTTGCATCCTCATAGTAGTTATGCTGGCAACTCTAGAAAAGAAAAATTATGCAAAGAAATATCACATTTATACTCCACTAATAGGTAAAAAATAGGATAGATGGAAATAGAATATTAATCTAATTAAATAAATCCTTTATTTTTAATAAATGTGAAGATGGCTACATTTATCTTTGCCTAGCTATTCAATTTAAGGTAAGAAGAACAGGTATGCGTGGAGTAGGAAGATGACGCTTGATGCTTAATGAGTCAGCAGTATGTGTGTGCACACATCCGACTATGCAGTAAGACCCGCTGCTCCACCACGGCTGGGTTTCTTTCTATATTGAAACATTGTCTGCCTCAGGCATTCATTTCCAGAAATGAAATAATATGATAACTAAATAGCCTCAGGAGTGTTTCTAGTGCTGAGAATTTAAAGTGATGAATTCAAAATGGAAAGAAAACAGAAGATAGTAGAATACTGCTTACATGCATAGCAGAACTGTAAAGATAATCATGCAAATATTCAAAAGTACAGTAATAAAAATATCAGCAACAAAACAAAAGCGATACATTGCCAAAGCTCATTGTTAGTCTGAGGGTGTTCTGTTATTACTTGAGAGTCTAGAATGTGTGGAGATTATTATTACTAAACCAAAGTGTTTTTAAAATTAAAATACCTACATGAAAAACTACTTTGGTACTCTACCCTTTCACTATTATCTGTCTCTATATGAGTTTCTTTTTTACTTTTATTTTTTGAGATGAAATTAGTTCTCTTTGGGATTCTTTGCCATTGATTGTTGTGTAGTAAAACATCACACAATGCTGATGGGAGGAATGTGTTGAGAATACACAAAAAATAGTAAACGAAACAATTTGACCCACAAAGACTGCAGATCTTGCTATAGATTCATCACAGTAGGTTGCACGTAGTTACTATGTTCAAAGAAACAACAGAAAAGATTTAAGCAGTGAACAAAAATCAAGAAGCTATCTAAAGTATCTAAGGCAAGACTGGGTGTGGGGGCATGCCTGCAACCAAACCCCAGTGCATGGGAGGCTGAAGACAGGAGGATCAGTACAGGTCCGATCTGTGTAGTGAGGCCCTATAGACCCTGTACTAAATACATAAAAGTAAATAAGTAAATAAATAAAATATCTAAGGCAGATGTTAAAAAATGTATCTATTTTCTGACTAAATGGTGTAAATCAAAAGTTGATTTAAATGGTACATATAATGCAACTGAAGGCACCAATTGCAGGGCAGAGTTGAAACTGTTCCCCAAATGCAAATCAGGAAATGAAAGGAATTGATACACAGAAGGAAAATTTAAAAGCCTGGAAGATAGCTTGAGAATATTTAACCCACATTTCTCTTTTTCTTTCTTTTTTTGGCAGAACCTGGGATGGAACTCAGGCCCTCACACTTGTCAAGCAAGCACTTATTCTACTGAGCTATCCCTTGGCCCCTTAACACATATTTAATAAAAATAACTTAGAGATGTCAGAATCAAATGAAGATTTCTTTAAAAGATTGATAAAGGATTTTCTAGAAATGATGAAAATCTCAAATCTTCAGGGAACTGTGAATAAATGCACGGTGCTGCACACAGGGGTGAGAGCACAAAACATTGAGATGATAAAATCTTCCAAGCAGCCACAGATAAAACAAAGACTACTTACAGGAGACAGAACTGGAAGAAGGCCTATCTTTTCAAATGGAACAAGAAGCACAAAAGAAAGATCTTAACATGCTAAGAGCAGAAAATATGGGCCTGGAATTTGATGCTAAACAAAACCATTTGTTCAAAAATAAAAAAAAAAAAGGTAAAATAAGGAGATTTCAAGCGACAACATGATTGAGAAAAAATATCAACAACAAATCTCAAAGAGTCTAACAAATTCTAATGACTCTAATCTATGGAGAAAAGTGAATAGAAAAAAAGAGATCAAAAGCAGAGGAAGCAATGGAAAATGGTACAAAAATGTTAAGGAACAAGACAACAAGTCTTCAATGAAAGGATATTTCTGCATTTTTAATGTAAGCCAATAAAGAAATAATATGGCTGTGGAAGACTTAGTGGAAGAATAGTGATTGGTTGATCTTTTGATTGTGTTTATGAAATATATTAGGGAAAATGATATTTGCTGTGAAAATGTAGAAAAAGGTTAAATTACTAAGGAACATTCCAAGAGAGAATGAACAAAAATACCAGCCTGCTGACACTAGAACAGACTGTACTGTACTAAATGACGCAGTCTCACAGCACACACGTTACAGACCCATGAGTCAACTGTGTCATTTCCTTACAAATTCTGAAGGCATTGGTTCACATAGCAGACACCTGCTACCATCCTAATGTTAGCTCTATAACCAACAGTCCCAGATACTTGACAACCAAAGAAACTCAGAAGCTTTGGTTCTTTAAGATGGTAAAGTGTCAGGAAATATGGTAATGAACCAGTTAATGGTAGATAGACAGTTCTTGTTCATCTACCAAAGCTCATCTTTAAAAGGTAAGCTTTACAGATGGCTCAGGTTTCTAAGTTGAAGATGAAGCCTTTCTACTCTTGAGCTCCTAATACTTTGTTCCTCTTTAACTACATAGTAAAAAGAATACCATGAGAAATGAGACCAGGTTTTCTGATGACTGAAATGTATGCTGCCAGGTATCTTCTTTAAGGAAAATAATAAAAATATTATAAACAAAAAGTAGTCATAGAAAATTAGTCATGGGAAGAATCAATGAAGGTGAGTAACTCTGTAATTAAAGACTTACTAAATTTAGTCATCATAGACAGCTAGAATAGATAACAAATATTTCAGAAAATCAAATTAAAATGAGGAGTGCAGAAAATTGGGACTCAGAAGATAAAACTATCCATATCAATGGCCCAGAAAAACATTTAGCTTTGAGGACAATTTTATAAACAACTTCAGGGAGATAAAGAAAGGGATTTTCTATTTTTCTCTGAATCTTCCAGAATGATAGCAAGAACAAAATTTATATTGTTCACCTATGAAATGATATAAAGAATAGCAAAATAAATAAAATGATAACAAAAAATATTAAAGTGAATTAACTACCTACTCAGCCATTAAATCCTTTTGTTATTGAATTAAAAATATATACTCCTTACAGGACTGCTACAAAGTTTGTATTAAAATTATATTCACAGGGGAAACTACCCACTCGGGCCCCCCTCCTGTCCCTCCAAGGGACAGGAGCTTTCTTTCTCTCAATAAATTTATTCTGCTCAAAAAATTTATATTCAGGGCCAGGGAGATAGCTCAGTGGCATAAGCACCTACATAGCAAGGGTAAGGTCCTGAGTTTGATCCCTAGTACCATGAAAAAAGTACAAAAATTATATTCAATTTACAGATTTGAAAGCTGAAATTCATTAGTGAAGTTAGTTGTCTAAAATGCACAGATTTTAATTGTAGAGCTGGGATTTTTAACTCTAAGTCCAAATCTTGGCTAGAATTAGTGGGACTTCTAGATATTGAAGGTGGATAAAAGGTTCTTATTTTTATTTATATTGTCCACTGGCTATATGATGAAAAAGATTAAAAAAAAACCATGATTCTCAGATTTTTTGTATTTTTTTTGTTTGAAGAGCTTCTTTAGACCATAGAAATATAAGCCAAGAATTACATAAAGGACATAAAAGTAGATATTAGGCAAGTTATATACACTGCCTTCTGGTCCACTCATAGATGCACATTAAGTTTATCATATTAGGGCTAGCTCCTCTAATGATTTCAAGAAACTTTTTAAAGTAAAAATAGAAATGAATAATGAACATTTGGCCAAAATTATTTTGGGAGCCTATGTTTGTTTAGGATTCATAGGTCTGAGATTCTGGCACTTTTCTATATCCCCTTAAAACATGTAAAACTAATCCATTTGGTTATTTAATCTTTAGTGAAATTAAACATGGAAAAATAACCACAATAATTACATTTATATTTGAAAAGAATATCCTTTAAACATACTTTAGTCTCTAGACTATACATGTTATTCAAATATATATATATATATATATATATATATATAATTTTATAGTTCTATAATTTTATTACTGGGGAAAACAAGGGCTATAACAATGCTTACCTTGTCTAATCTTAAGCAGCAAAATGGCACTTTTTCATGGAGGAGATGACAAAATGTGGGTGAACTTCCTATATAGGGAGAATAAGGTGGGTAGCCTTTAGCATACCTGCAAAAATATGAAATATTACCCATGTGAAATTGTTATGACCATGTTCTCTTATTTTGATAACATAGAATCAACAACTCTTTGTGTTGCAATTATATTTCAATAAAGACAACAGTTTATAACAAGAGGGACAAATTATGACTCAGAGATTAAGTCTGGTCTACTAGAGGCTTGAGAAGCAAGGGTGGCTCTATAGTTTTAAATGACTGAAAAACATCATATAATATTTTCTATCACTTAAATATCATGGGACATTCTAATTATAGTTAAAGTATCTATAAATATACCTTATCTTAACATATTAACTTACGTATTGGCAAGTATGTACTTGGGCTTCAACACCAAAGAGCAGCTTAAATATATAATGGTTAAGTCATAACCTTACTACTGATTTCTTTCTATCAAAGTTCACAATGCTCAGCTTATAAGATGTAGCCATATGTTAGTAAGAATAATGTTAATTTTTATAAAACACACTTAAAGCAAAGTATATTTTTATCATTCGCTTTGACAATATTCATTAGCCATGAATGCAAAGCCAGAAAGGAAAAAATGATTAAGTGAATTAATTTGACACGGTTTTTGCTGCAATCACACTTAAAATATTTCCAAAGACATTTAGTTTGTTTGCTAATGTTTACAAAATAGCCACCTGCATATTTTGGCTGTGTTGCTGCAAACAGCGAGTCTTCTAAAACATAGAAACATAAATAATAATTAGGATAAGAGAATAAGTACAGAGAATATTCTTTTATCCCTGCCCCTCAAAATCTCTGATTTCAATCACTTTACCTGAGAAACCATAAGGTTTAGACCTAATTTAAACTGCTCTTCTAGACAATGTTGATAAGTTGGTCATGTCCACAATTACTTTAATATCTCTTTTATTTTATTTTTTTTTTTATTTTAGGGAAGTGTCTACAGGGTGTTCAGGGTCTTACTACTAGATCAGACTCGTAGTGATCTGCCTGTTTACAGCCTCCCAAGTGCTGGAATTACAGGTGTGCACCACCACCCCCAGTCTCAATTGCTGTCTCAGCATGCCCTGGGGTAGGGGCCTGCACAGCAGGCCAGGGGATCGTAACTCTGGCCCCTGCACCCGTTTGCAGGTGCTTTAATCCACTAAGCTATTTGGCCGGCCCTTCTTTAATTTTATTTTAGAAATACAAACTTCTAGCACTCAAATTTTTTGAGAGATTTTAAGAACTTCAGTCACACCTCAAGACAAAATTACATGCAAAGACACTGGGTGCCACACCTCTCGTTCTCATCCTGGATTCCATAAATCCATTGTAGGGCTCAGACAGTAATTTCTTCATGAGAGGACTTTATTCTATGGGTGGATCAAAGCTTCTTACAGTAGCAGCATGTGGGATTTTTCAAAAGGGGATATTTTAAAGTTTCAATAAATTTGAGTTTATTTTAATTTAACTTATCCTTAATTTAATTTATATAGAGGTATTGAGAAAAATGATATAAGATGATGACACGAATGCCACGACCAACCATATCACTGTTAACAGTAATCAACATTTCCTAGCTGCTTACTGAGCAGAAAACATTGTCCTGAGCACTTTTTCTCTATCATCTTCATTAATCTTCATACCATTCTTGAGGTAGTAATTACATGTAGTTTACTGGTCAAGACGTTGCAGGCCAGGTTAATCAATCACCTGTACATCACTAGTACAAGATGGAGCTGGCGAAGCAAATGAGGTCAACTAGAATCCACAGCCAAGGCTGTGCACAGCTCCACTTCCTTTCCACTTTCCTGAGGCAATATCATGTATGGAGTAAGACATGTAAACAAATTCTATTTCAGACTAATACAACATAGCTAGGTACTATAGGTACTGTAAAATTATGAAAGCATAGAAAATAGAGAGTATTTTATTCACAAATAAAAATATTACTGTTGCACATGGATGGAAATAATTATTAATTGGTGAGGTAGAAAAGAAAAAGCTTAATGGAAATAGCTATACTTCAAGGCAGTGACTAAACTTTAGCAAAGACATGAAATAAAAGATATTCACAGTAGAAAACAATACTATAAAATACAGTTGTAAAAATGTAGCTTATACACTATGAATATAAATATGTATAATGCATATACAACACATATATATGTGAATAATGGATATTTTAGACAAATTTAGACTGAAAAATATACTGAAGACAGAAACATGAAAGTTTCAATGCTTTACAGTCCACAGAGACAGTGGGCAACAGAATGATGTTTTGATACAATTGTGAAGGAATGAGTCTAGGATGTCCATCAGGTAAGAATTTTAAACTCTACTATGAATGTGGTACCTAAATATAATATTTGAGAATATGAGCAGAAAAGCAAGTAATCTTACACTTAAAAGCATCTAAACCTACTCTAAATTTGAAGACATTTCTTCATCTGGTGCAGTTTCATCTTCTGATTGGTCACTTAGAAGATCACAGGTTTGAATTGATGATGTATCTGCAACCTCTAAAACAGGAGCAATACTAGGTCTTCTTATGTCTTTGCTTCCTTCTACAGGAAGAGCCAGCGTGGGACCACTTACTGATCTACAGCTTGTATCTTGTAAATCTATGGCCACAGTACCTATAGCAACGAAACACGAACATGCATCAAGATATTTGCCATCTATATGACATACTGATCTTGTAATGTTAAAGTTAATAACAGGTAATCATTGATATATACAGCATATATATATATATATATATATATATATATATATAGAGAGAGAGAGAGAGAGAGAGAGAGAGTACTGAAAGGCATTTTTTTCTTTCTTATGTGAACATTTCCCTGGATAAGAAATGATCCTCAATTTCTTATCTTTCTGCCAACCTACACGCCATTTTTTGGCTCTTCTTCGCAGAAAACTCCTTTAAGAGTCTTGCTGGGGGCTGGGGAGATGGCTCAGTAGAATAAGCACTTCCCTGGCAAGTGCAAGGGTCTGAGTTCAATCTCTGGTTCTTCCAAAAAAAAAAAAAAAAAAAAAAGAGTTTTGTAGACCTAATGTCTAATTTTTGTTTAATCATTCCTTCCTCAGCCCAATCTAATCTGGCATTCTTCAGCACCCTTACAGGACAATAATCATTCCATTGCTCAATTCAATTGAGAACCACTAGTCCTCTCCTTACATACCTATCAGAAACATTTTCATTGTCTTATAAGGCAACTGTTCATACAACCATCCACTGGTATTCTAGACACCAGTCCTATGGTTTTCCTTCTACTTAGTCAGGGACTCCTCCTTGGGTTTTGCTAGGATTTTTGTTGTCATTACTGTTTTTGTCTCCCTGTTTCTTAATGTTGTTTGCTGCCAAATCTATTTGTTACCTTTAGACACTTTTTGGCACTAATTTATTTTCTCAATGATCTTTTCCTGTTTTATGGCGTTAGAAGAATATTTAAACTCAGAAATATGAAATTTGATTTTGCAAGCTGCACCTGTCCCCTGAAATGTTGATTCTTCTATCTCACTTTCTCTTTTACTTCTTCTAGATGTCTAACAGTCATTTGAAATGTAATGTGGTCCAAAGTAAGCCCTTCTTATTCCACCCAATTTGCATTCCTCACCGCATTCTCTATCTCAGTTGATCGTTATTTCTTTTATCGAGCAGCTCCAAACAGAAATCTTGAAGAAATTCTCTAGTCCTCACAGTTTAGCCACATTTCCTTAGGAGATCCTGTGCATGGCACTCTTCAACATATACTCAGAATCCTTTTTCTTACCATTTCTATTTGAAGACACCCTGATACTTGCCTCAAAACATCTATCTCCATAACAACCAGAGTATCTGCATTACAATATAAGTGAATTTAGGAAACTTTAGACAGTTGTCCTGTTTAAATCCTTGTAATGATTCTCACTTGCTTTAAAAAGCCAACATGATCTGACCTCTCCCTACCCCTTTCTCTCCAACTCCAATTCTTTTATTACACACTGTCCTAAGTCACAGGGCTGCTTTACTGGCCCAACAACACCCAGCTAAGCTCCCACTAAGTGCTCTTTGAGTTAATTGCTGTCTGTACCCCAAATTTTATTTTCTCCAGACATCTACAGGGCTAAATTCCTCATTTCCTTCCAGTATTTGGTCAATTGTCACCTCTAATGAAACTATTAACCAAATCACTTAAAAATCTAATCCTCCCTGAATTCATAATCTTCTACCAGTTCTGTTTTCTTTTTCCCTCATATGTATGACATTCTAACATACCAAATAATCGACTTATTTTATATATTTTTGTATTTACTGCTCATCCTTCTCATAATAGACTCTAAGGTCTGTAAGCTGCAGTTTTTGACTAATATTTTAATCATGAATACTTATGAGTTTGGTACATATTAGGTATTTAATAAGTAACTATTGAATCATGAAAAATAAGTCTACACAGGTAATGCAATACATCTTAGAAAGTGTGATTTTTAGACTGTCATGTAAAGGATTCAAAGTAGTTGTTCAGATTAATTTTGGGGTCAAATGCAATTGTGTCAGTTGACATTTAATGGTTAAGGTCCACTGGTGACAAAAAATTAGTAATAACTGAAAGAAATTTAGTATGACAAGAGTTAAGAGAATAATTGAAAGGATAGTAAAATATAAGGCTACAGAAATAAGAAATAATTTTTAAAAGCCTGTAAGTCAAGTGGCTGCAGTTTACCTTTAAACTTCAGGGCTCATAGGAGTGAAATGGAGTGCTCATGACAATTAAACTGGAAATTGGACTACCCTAAGCAAACTGGGATTGCCTCACACAAATTAGAAATTTTGGTCATTCTGACAGCCATGCTGTTTAATGTTTTAATATTTTTCCACTGAGTAAAGGGGAACAGGTAAAAAGGTTGACTCAGGAGAATAACATTATCCAAGTGATTTTAAAGATTATTACCATGTTGTGGGTTGGAGAACAGAGTATAGGACAGCAAGATTGGAGACAGGAGAGAAGACAAGAAGTTTGAGCCAGCTGCTCCAGGAAAGGATGTCAGAGGCACAGACTATGGTGACCTTTGGTAATGCACAGGAGAAGATGTGAATAATTTTAAAAGCTACACTGTGATCACATTTAGTAGAATAAAGGGATGTATGAGACATGACAGGAGAAAAGCAGCGTGAGTCAGATTATGACCTCACAAGTTGAAAAAAAATGGAATCATTTGTTTGTAGCAAACAACAACAAAAAAAGGGAAGCAAGTGGGGAAACTCAAGCTTTTGTACTGGCTATTCCTGCAAGAAAGACATTCAGACAGAAATATCTGGTAGCCAGTTGAATATTGAATTTATTATTGTAAAGAGAAGTTTACATTAACAATTTAAGTAAAGAAAATGTAGTTTTCTGGAGTACAGTTTAATCCAACCTGGGTAAATGCATGTCTGATGCATAGAAAAGACACTGATTCTTCAAAGAAAAACATGCCCAGGGTCATTATTGCCACTAAGAAAGTCGGTAAAGAGGTAAATGATGACCTTGGTCGAGGAATTTCAGTGATATGATGGCAGATAACTGAACCAAGACACAAGTGACCTAAGATTTCAGGACATCAAAAGAAGACAACACTTTTGAGGATTTATGAAGGTGTCACACCATCAGGTTCAAAAGTGCTGGGTTTTGTTCATATAAATAGATATGGAGAAGGGGTAGGGAAGGAAAAAGCAAAGAATGAAGGATCAGCCTGCTATTTGATAAATTAATTCATCCCTATTACCTAACTTCTTAAATTAAGTTAGGTAATAGGGATGAATTAAGGAATACAATCTTTGAGAACAAAATAAAGCATGGGTCCAGTGCATAAGTGAAGGTTTTAGAATTACTTAAAAGGTAGCACTTATTTTTCTTGTAAAAAAACTAAATATAGATCTTTAGGGGCGTTGGTGATAAAATATTAGGACTATTTTTATTTTCTGAATCCACTGTATTTCTTTCTCTTGACCTTTTCTTTTGCACGCACACATGTGTGTGTGTGCATGCGTGTGTGTGCATGTGTGTGCCACAGAAGCCACATCAGTGATGAGAAGAAATGGGAAATGGAAATAGAATTTTGAGAAAGACTGCTACTATCAAAGGTAGATTCTATGAGTAATTGGATAAACAATAGGCATAATAAATATAGATGTCAGGTATTACAGTATAATATATGTTATATTAATTACTACTGACTTTATCTATTTGAAACAGGGTCTTGTTACACAATTCAGACTCCCAGTGATCCTCCTGTCTCAACTTCCCAAATGCTGGGCTTACAGGCATGTGCCACCACGCCCAGTCTCAGTTGCCAGCACAGAGTGCCAAGGGTTCTGGGTCCAGCAACTAAACCCAGGTTTTTGTTTTTGTTTTGTTTTTTTCAGTACCGGAGACTGAACTCAGGACCCTGAGCTTGCCAGGCAAGTGCTTATTCTACTGAGCTGTCTCCCCAACCCAGCCAGAGTCCAGGCTCTCGAGCTTGGCATGCAGCCACTTAGATCACCAAGCTATCTCCCGCCTCCATGACTATATTTTTGTAATATCTCACTTTTCCTAAATTAGATTAAAATTTTATTCTCTATATCTAGTCCTAGTTTGTAATATGAATATGCATTTTCCAATTGGTATTGAGATTTTAATAAAATTAAGGTAAGCTTATTGTTCTTTTTTTAATATGTTAAAGGTTACCTTAGGCATTTTTTTTTTTTTTACTTCCTGTACTTACCCATGCTGGCAATTATGCTATGTACAGGTAATCTGGAAGAAGGTCCATGATAAAATGACCTTGGCACATTGCTTTTTCTTTGCTGGTCTTGGTTCTTAAATGCTGAATTCTCTTCTTTGGTAATGTTAATATAAAAGCATATGTCTGTTGCATTCATAATGTATCGAGGACCTGGATTCAGCAAAATGTTTTTATTATCCTCCCTCCTAACACCAATCAAGCAGACACCAAACCTTAATTAAAAACAAAACAAAACAAAACAAACAGAAAAAAAAAGAAAAAGAAAATAAGACTTTAAAAATTATAATTCAGCCAGGGTCTTAGGATATATCTTTTTTTTTTAAAGAAACTTGGTTTTCTATCTTTTTTTTCTTAAGTAAGAAAATTAGTAAATTTGTAAGGAAGAAGATTAAAACCACAAGTCACAGAATTTTGAAGTTTGAAGGAATCCTAAAAGTTTTAAGTTCCTCATTTCTAGGGTAAGATTTATACCTTGTAAAAATACACATAATTATATCCATGTAAAACACATGACCATGTTATTAATATAACAATGACAAAAAGATAGTAAACAGAAAACATCAGAGTGCATGTCATGTAGGAAGAATAGAATTTTATTATTTTTATAAAAATTTGCTTTGTCTCAAGTCTCCTTCAGTTGAGACAAAGTAAATTATTGGTCTGGAGTGACGGGGGACAGGGTCTACACTTGATATCACAGGGCTGAGAGGCGACACACAGCACTGGAATTTGGTAGTAAAATGAGTTGTGCTTTTTTGCCTGAATTTAATATTAACCAAACTCCTTGCATAATTTTGTATCTGATTAAGATTGCTATTTTTAAAGAAAATGTGGACAGACACAAAAGTGTATCAGATATGATATAAAATGAATGGCAAGCCACATAGATAAATTACAGTGCTTATCATACATAGATAAAAGTTTATAAATGTAGCTTTTAATGTATCTATCAATAGGATACAAAAGTCTCTAATCATCTCCTGGAATAAAGCATTTTAACATAGTTTTGATACTAAAAAAATTTGCTTTGGTCAAAATTGAAACAAAAATTATGTAATCAGAAAAGTTTATGAACTATATATGTAAAGAAAGACCCCTAAAATGGTCTGAAAGAAAACAAGGGCCTCCAAATTTCTTTTAATATTATTTCTACCATGTTTGATTTACTTTCAGAAAGAAACATCTTTCTTAATTCCTGAGTAATTACATAGTATAATTAGGAGAAATAACAAACTTTGAATGTAGTAATATATTGAAATATTTCTTATATACAATTTTGTACAATAGAAATTATTTCGACTACTTTTATCTTATCATGTCCTATAATAGTATAGTTTAAACCAATGTTTAAAACATTTTAAATGAGATATATATATATATATATATATATACACACACACACATATACATAAAATCATATTGAAAATTAAAATAGAACACATATGGGCCTGGTAGAATATACTATATGTACTTTGAATCACTCAGATACACTTTTATATTTTAAATATAGATAAGTTTATTTTATAATGTACCTATATTTTTATTTTTACATAAATATTTTTCTCAAAAAATAAAGAACAAAATTTGAATGCTTCCATTTTACTTTTAATATTCTTTGTTGAAAAGGTGCTATCACAACTTTTTAAAAATTTTTATTGGTTTTATATATTTTATTACTATTTTGTTTAAATTGTTAATCAACTTTAAATTTTAGTTCCATAAGGAAGATTCATTTCTGTTTTTTAATTAGCTAAAAATGATTATCACTCCTGAATTACCATTTGTTCTTGGTAATCTGAATTTCTAGACACCACACAGGGGCTACAGTTTAAATGTGATGATTATCATGTCAAAAATTCCAAAATAGTTTAAATTCATTTGCACCGATATTGGTTGTGTTTTAGAAAACTGTTTAAGTGTTTTGATAGCTAGCTACCAAAAAAACTGAGTAATTGGTTGATATTTTAATTAACTGATGTTTCCTGGAACCAGAAACATACTTTTTGTGGGCATGGAAAGAAGCATATGTAAAACTTTTTCCTTCATATTCAGCAAAAAATGTACTTTCTTCTAAAACAATGTGGTACACTTCATTCCCAGAGCACCTGCCATATGTCTTCTGCCATTGTTCTGGGGATTGCTGGCCTTCCCTGCAACACAAACACACACACATACACACACACAAAGAGAAAATCAGTGAGTGTGGTGAAGAAAAGAAATGCTACCATAACATTGTTTCCCAATTGTGAGAAGTAGCAGGCACAGTTCCTATTTCCTTTCCTTGACTACTTTTATTTTAGCATGTCCTACAACAGTATAGTTTAAACCAAAAATAGGAATTTAGCACTATTTCTATATAAGCTTCAAAACTGGCAGGAGCCAATATGTGGAAGTTTTTCAAGAATGAACTGATAAAACCTTCTTATGCTGACCACAGGTCAGGAATGTACATCAGATTTTCAATTTCCTTTTATGTATACGCCGCCATGAACACCTCATTTATAACATTTGTATTATTGTCTCTATCAGCCACATCTCCGTCTCATGATGTTTGTTTGGTTCTTCTAGATATTTGGTTTCTTCATGGACAGAATTATCAGGGTTTTCAGTTTATTAATTCTATTTAGTAGAAAATATACTCAATTTATGTCCATATTATAATTTTCTTATAACTGTAGAATTCAAGCAAAGACGCTTCTTTCAGATAAAAGTAAGTCACTGCAATGAATGGAGTGATGTTTCAGTCCCCCTCAAAATTCATATGGAATGCTCAATGTGATGATATCTAAAACTGGGCCTAACTGATGCGAGTGAACTTCTCGAGAATGGGATTAATGCTTTATCAGTGCTGAAGAGCATTACCATTTAAGAGTGCAATGCCAAGCTAGAAGTCTACAAATTGGAGGGCGTCCCATCATGCCTGGATTATGCAAGCAGCCAACTTCATATTTCACCCTTGGAGCTACAAAATACCATCTTTTTTTTTTTTTTCCAGAACCGGGATTGAACTCAGGCCCTTGTGCTTGCCAGGGAAGCACTTATTCCACTGAGCCATCTCCCTGGCACCCCAAATACCATCTTCATAAGCATCTTAGTCTATGATGATTTGTAATAATGGCCAATTGACTAAAACAATCTCAAAAATTGATGTCCAAAGTATTATTAATGGTATCTTTATTTTAAAGGAAAAAAACCCCAAAATTTCAAAACAAGAGGAGAGCAATAGTTAATACATTGCATATTGTTATCTTCAAAGTAGTTACACAGAGCACAAGATACAGGCATAAAAAATGTCTAAATAATATTAGCACAAATCTTTCCTTGTAATGAACTAAGAGAAACTAGTAGTATAACTATCTTAATAAAACATTAGGGCTGGCGAGATAGCTCAGCAGTCTAAAGAACCTGTTTAGGCAAGCTTGGGCAAGCACAGGGATGGTAGTTTGATCCCCAGCACCACATGCTGCACCAGCCTTATCCCTCATGGTGAGCTGAGCTAGCCACACACATGCACACAAAAGAATATAAGAATATATATATATATATATATATATATATATATATATCTTTTTTTTTCATTGTTTCTCCTCACTGCCAACCCAGTTTCTCTTTCATTTGGAACAGTTTCCTCCCATTTCACAGTATCTATTGTACATTTTGGATCTTATTTATTCTTTCAGCTACTCATACTAGGGAAACAATATGATGTTTACATATGTGAGACTGGTTTATTTCACTTATGAGTCAATTCTACAGTTACATCCATTTACCTATGAAAGTCACAAGTTTATCCTTCTTTATGGCTGAGTCATAGGCCATTATATAAAGAGACCACATGCTTTTATCCATTCCTCAGTTGATGAGCATTCAGGTTGTTTCCTAAAATTTAGCTGCTATAAACATGGGTATAAATACATCACCATGATGTAATGTTTTCAGTTCTTCCAGGAAGATACTCAGAAGGGGGATAACTGCATTGAATGGGACCTCAAATCTTCATTTTCCGAGAAATCTCTGCACTGATTTCCAGAGTGACTGTAACCATCTGTACTCTCACCAACAGAGGCTTTCTTTTTTCTCACATCTTTTCCAGCATCTATCATTAGTTGATTTTTTGATGATAGCCATTCTTTCTGCGATGAGACTGAATCTCAATGTTGTTTTAATTTACATCTCTTGAATGACCAATGACGCTGAACATTTTTAGTACATTATTTGCTATTTGCATTTCTTCATATGAGAAATACACATTCATCTCAGATGCCCACATTTCCACTGAGTCTGTGAATTATGTGGGAGGATGTCTGATTTTTGTCACATCTGTATATGTTTTAGATACAAACCCTTTGTCTGAGAGATAACGGCAATAAATTTCTCTGTTCTGTTGGTTGCCTTTTTAGTCCTTTGGTAATTTCTTTTGTAGTGCAAGTGAGATACCATTTCTTGACTTTTAATAGATTTCCTGGGCAGTTTGGGTTTTGTTCATGGAGTCCCTGCCTACATCTGTGTCTTCAAGATTTCTAATTATTTTCTCTTCCAGTAGATTTAGTGTTTCTGTTTTATATTTAGATCTTTGATCCATTTTGAGTTTAATGTAGTAAATGGCTATAGACATGGGTCTAGTTTTAGTATTTGGCACATGGAAAGCCAGTTTTTCCAGCACCGTTCACTGAAAAGTCTTTCTTTCTTTGCTGTGAACATGTTTGGCCCCTTTGTCAGAGATATAGTAGGTGAGGGTTTTGGGAGTTGCATCTGCATGTTCTATTTTGTTTAACTGATATTCAAGTTAAAGAATATTTTTTCCTTGCCATTAGCATGATGATTTTATCATAGTGGCTTCATAGTATCATTTCAAGTCAGGGATTGTGATGGCCCCTGACTTGGCATTGTTGCTTAAAACTGCTTTTTCTATTTTAGGTCTCTTCAGTTTCCAAATGAATCTTAGGAAATTTTCTATAGGTCTGTGAGATTTGTTTGCTAATGGTATCTTGAATGGAATTTCAATAAATCTGTATAGCAGTTCTGGGAGTATCGCCATTTACACTATGTTGGTTCTTCCTATCCATGAACAAAGCCCAAAGTTTTTTTTCTTCTAAGTTTATTTTAAAAAGCACAGTTTCTTTTGTTCTGGAACATTCTTCTGTGGCCTACTTAACTGTCCTTGGAAAAGCATTACTAATTTAGTTTTTGAAAAATTTATAATGAGCATATTAATAGTTCCCCTTTTCCCATTTTTATGATAAATACTCTTCCCTTTGTCAAATTATGTTTATGAGCAATAACAAAACAAGCAATGTACATCAAGCAGCAAAATGCAAATATATAAGAATAAAAATAGTTATAATCTCTATAGCTTCTTAATGGATAAAGATAAATGAGAAATCATCCATGCCATATCCAGAATTGAAATAGTCATGTTTAAATGCTAAACATTATGGAATAGAATATTAGGAAAAACATTTATCAGAAATTTCAAGAAGCCAATTTGTTTAAAAATATTTTCATAGTATCTTTTTCTGATTTATTCTTTATTAGGTTTGCATTAGAGTCCAAAGTGTGCTTAATAGTACAAAATTGGGCCCAGAATTCTAGTGGCTTCATTTGAATCTCTACTCTGCAATCTTTAGTGGATTATTTAACATCTTAATGATTCTTTATCTCATCTGTGAAAAACAGCATCAGCTTTATAGTGGTAGATAAAATGAAGTAACAATATCTATTAAAACAATCATTTAAGAGATGTTTGGATCATGAAAGTATTTAAGAGTGAGCTGCCATTATTATTTTGCTATTATATTTTACTCATTTCTAAATTTTGGAGCCGTTTTCTACAAATGACATATAATATTCTTAAAACTCCATCTAACCTTCCATCACATGGCTATTATAT